TGGATGGCAAACAGCCAGAGGCAATAACATGACGACGAAATCGGGTTTTAATACCTCTACAGCCTTGTCAACACCGTCGAGGGGTTTGAGAAACTGGAGCAACGTCGGCATCTGATGATTCTGCGTGTTTAGTCTGAAGCATTGATGTTCGGGCGCGAAGAGAAGCACCTTTGGAGGCGCGGGAATTGGTTGCGGTGGCGGTAGGAGTCTCCCAGAGTCAAAGTCCTTCAACACATTGCAAATCGTACCGTCAAAGCATGTAGCCACGAGGTGTCGGTTCTAGAATCGTTAGTCTCTCGCACATGGGTCTCTGTCACACGGCTCGGACTCGTACCCGCCATGTATGGTGTCTCGATTCGTCTAGCCCAAACGCTGCCTGAATCTTGAAGCCCATCCCTGCAAATCCTTCCGAAACACCCAAGACGGAGGGGCTTAGGTCAAATGCTACCGGCACAACGTCACTGCGAAGGCTGGGTCTCTCCCGATGATAACCATCATGCAGTAAGAGATGGGATGCCAATGGTGTTGTCGTGGTAACACCACCATCTGTAGATGCCTTGGACACGGCAAACCGACAGAAGAGTCTTTGGGGGTCCATGTCTAGTAGCATGTCAGCGAGATTAGAGACGCTGACCCACGAGACAAACCTGGATGATACCGGGAAACATGACTGATGCCAGTGCTCACCCGCTGTGCAGATCGAATATCGTCAAGGGAAATGGTCTCTGCATCCTGTGACGTTCGCATCTTGTCAAAGTTACTGAAGTGCAAAACCACTTCTTGATCAACCAATGCTGGGTTTCCAATCTCTCTAGGCTGCTCATATGGAAGGATAGAGCTGAGGGCCGAGTACTTGGTAACACGGAAGAAATATCTCCTTTCCGAGGGGATATTGATACTCTGTGAGATATCGTGAACAAGGATGATCTGTTCACCTTCTTCGTCTCCCAATTGGATGCGGTAGTAGTGGTTTTTCTCGAAAGTAATATTCAGGTCTTCGGAGAGAAGTGCAAAAAGCAACATTACATCCAACTGCAGGCATCAGTCAGTCTTCTCGAACCACATCAGACGTTAGGTTATAGGTAGAGACATACCTGAGAAGACTCCCGTGGCACCGAAGAAGAGCCTGACTGGAGGTGTTGTCGATGCCACGCCAGCCAATCTTGTTCATCTTTTTGCAGTCTCGTTGTCTCCAATGAATTAACCTTTGGACGACCGACAAGGTTAGGGGCCCATGGATGGACCCGTGGATGGACCTGTGGATGGTCGCGTGGAGGGACTCTTGACTCCTGACCAACATCACTATCATCTTCCGATGTGTCGGATTTTAAGCAGGGTTCTGGTTCCAAGTCCAAGTCCATGTGGATGTCCATGTCCGTGTCCGAGACCTCATCGACTGAGGTTGGCGGCAGTCCGAAAAAGGAGGGTGCCTCCGCTCTTGATACCATCGGAAAATAAACCTCACTGGGATCTAAGCCATCGAAGATGACTTCAGAATGAGCTTGCGACACTGTTCGAGTCGGGCAATCGCAGGGGCCCTCTGCTTGTTCGGGTTGTCCAGAGGCTTGACTGGGCTCTGAGAACCTGACTCCTGAAGGATGTGTTAGAACTGCCAACACAGAAAATGAATGTGACTTTACCGGCCACATTCAAGACCTCCGTCTTTCTTTGTCGACATGAGCGCTCTTTATGGAGGGTGACCCAGTAGTGGATATTGGCCCCATATCTTAACATGAAAGCTCCACTCTCGTTGCCAGCCCATTCCACCTTTATCTTCCTGCCCCCATTCGCGCTACTCATTTTGATAGCCCGTGGCATTTTTCGGAGATACTCCACAGCTTGTCGTCGAAGACGCGCGGCGGTTACCGGGGTCAGTTCGAGCTGCTCGCGGATTTCGTCGAAAGCGGCCTCTAGCAGATCCTGGACGACATGGTCGCAGAAGAAGGCACTTTCGTCAGTCATCTGTTGTCCAGCAACTTGAAAGAACTCGCAACTGGATTCTTGGTGTACGCGGACAACGTCGAGCCACTTTGCATGTATTTGCAGCAGAGCCTGATCACTCGAGTAGAGAAGGTCGATGTCGGTGTTAGCTCCGTCGACAAACTCAATTCGGATGTTTCCCATCCTTGGGTCCTGAGCGAATGAGCCATTCAATGCGTGGATGATGCTGAGGCTAAATATGTCCATGTCTGGCTTTATGGGTTGTGATGTCCCGAACAAGTGATCTCTCTCCTCGAGGGGCGTCCTCATCAGAGGCGGCTCTTGTCTGAGGATCGTCCAGAGTTTCTTCCCTAGCTTCAAGGGTTTCTTTTTGAGCTCTGTCAAGATTATGTCCTCCTGAGGAAGGGGTCAGCTTTTCGCAGATTGACACATCTAACCATGTTACTCACATCTGTGGTGGCGTTCTGTCGAGACGCATCTCTTTCCGAGTAGAAGAATGCATCTGGCTGGGACTCTTTCAGGCGTCTGCAGATGCTCTGTGCCGTCAATCGAGATATGAACTTGTAGGAATGTTCGACATCGCGTGCCGCTTCATCCTCGGCGAATAGTTTGACGAAGGCATCGATGACCGAATCTCCCTTTAGCTGAATAGCCTGCGTCCAGATACTAGCCAAGGCTTTAGCTTCTTCATGTGGGCTTGCCATCCGCTGGCGGTCCCGGTTGATGGTGCCTTCGTAGAAATTATAGCCGAAGCAAAGGCCTTCGTCATTCTGCGCATCGTCAGAGGTCTGAGACACAAGAAGCCCATGGAGGTAAATGCGACCACGAAAGCGAGGATCGAGTATGAGGTCTCCTGTGGTGGTGCGAACAATCCCGGTGGATTCAGGAGGATCCAGATCGATAGAGACCTCCATCCACTTTCGGAAGTCTTCCTCTGAGACCTTCTGAGAGCCTTCTCTATCTCTGGACTTCCCTATCTTTACCGTCATGTCTTCCCAGATGTGAGAGGTGAGGCCTCGTTGGGTATCGCCTGCCATTAGGCGTCTTTTGTATTCCTCTCGCTGCTCGCGGATCAACTTGGGTCCCGGTTCACTCAAGACGCAACAAAGGCGAGGGCGAGTCCCTCGAAAGTTGAAATTCCAGCAGAAAGAGTTTGTCTCAAATCTGACGGAATGACCATTGCGTCGCATCACAAGCGCAGCCAGCTTGAACCCTTCACCGTGACCTCCGGCCAGTGCCTTGTTACCCCGCTTACTGGTCTCACCCAGGTCCAGATGTTTCCGATCAAGTTTGGCTCTGAAGTTTGTCAGCTCTAGACTGCCCTGCTTGGCCTGAAATCTGATGTAGCCAAGCGGACGTCCTCTCCCTGAGGCCATACTGGCGGCGGTATTGTCAGATACGGTGATGTGGATCTCCTCGTCATCGTTCCTGACAAAAATGGGTTTTATCGAATGAGGATCGACTCCGAATGACTCAATAATGCCATCCTTCCTGCGCCATGTCAGAGACTCAAACAACTAGAAGCCACAAGCACGGCATGATTTCCCTACCAGTTTTGGTAGAACTCTCTGAAGGCATCTCTGGGACCCCACGCGGGTGTGAAAGTCTTGGTCAGGCCCAGATGGTGGACGCCAGGTTTTAGCACGTCACGATCGTCACGATCATCGAACTGAGGTTCTGAGGTGTAGAAACCCCCTCCATCGTCATTATCTTCGAACTGAGAGTGTGAGGTGTGGAATTCCTCTCCATCGTCCTCGAACTTCATATTGAACTTCACTGGTGAAAGCACACCGAAGGCGTAGTAGACAACAGTGGAAGAGGTGTAGATTTGACAGATAACTCAAGGTGGAGTCAGGATAGCTCGGACGAGGGAGAAAAGTGCGTAGATAAGTATCCCGATGTAGTTGTGAACAGGCTTCAAGAGAAGAGTTCAAGGCTCAAGAGGTCCTGCTATTGAAAAACTTGGCTGGACGTTGGTAAGAAAAGTCTAGGCGAGCGCAGTTTGAAAGAGAGGTGAGAGCGAGTGCGGAGTGCTTAAGATAATTTCGTGGCAGTTTTCAACCAGCACCTCGTTCGAGTGTAATCCACGCTGCTGCGAGGCTGGAGAGGCGGAATTGTACGATGAAGTGCGTGTCGGGGGTAACGGCAGAGGGGTTTTCGCAGTGTTGAATTCACCTAGCCGTGGGGGTCGTCCCTAATCTTGTCAGCCTACAGAAGGTCTTCTCAATCGTGGTTCCAGCAGAATCAGACGAGGCTGGTCGAGGCACGATGTAGAAGAAGCATTTTCTTGAGGGTTACTGGCACCAGGAGGGTTGGCCCTTTTTCGGGATGCGTGAAGAGGTTTCGAGGTTGGAGGCAGTGGGTGAAGAGAAAGAGAGTCCTCTCTCTCTCTCTCTCTAACAGGGTGCACTGTCTCTCAACAGGTAACATTGGTTAGTGGGTCACACAAGACGCAGTTTACTGGTTTGACGCCGGAAAGTTTTCTGCCTCCCGCCGCCTCCACCTGCTGAGCAAGGTTCAACGACTTCGGAACACAGGTTCCGCGAGTTGTCGACAAATGATAAAGCAGTCAGCAACTCGGCTGACTTAGCGTCCGTGACTGAAACTAGCTGCAGACCCCGCCCGGTTGTGTTGATCAACACGGATTAGCGTCTACCACTCTCCTTGACTCTCACAGCCTCGTGGTGAGGGTTGGACACGAAAATGGTCCCGGCTTGAGGGTATATGAAGCCCAACATCTCCTCTCTGTGTATGCCAGGTCTCAAACCCGACACTATCTCGACTTCAACACCTGTCCATTTTTTTTGTCTGTCCTAACGCTAAGGCTTTGACCATATATGTGTCCACCGCCTGATGTCACCAGAATCACAACCTCCACACCCCGCCCCACGCAGGGCGCATCAAAAGTCACGCACAGGGTGCAAGAACTGTAAGCAGAGAAAAGTCAAAGTAAAGTCCCCGAAAAGGCATCGTGTCCACTCTGTTCTCACCGATTTTGACACGCTTGACTGGACAGTGTGACGAGAAACGCCCGGTCTGTGACAAGTGCGTCATCCACTATGCCAACATCCAACAGTGTGACTACGGGGATCAGAGTTCCTCGGCGGACGAACCAACGACTTCGAAAAGACCTGCTGTGGAGGAGCCGAGGAGTACGCCGAGGAGGGTTCCCATCCTGCCCAAAGCTCGCCTGCAACATGGAAATGCCGGCCCTTTCGCCCTGTCCAGGTCTGGATCGTCGACATTCGACCCCTTCACACAGCATCCTCCCTCTCCGGAGCCGGACATAAGTCTCCTAATGGGGACGTGTGAGTGGAATTCATTTCCTCCAGAATACCCTCACCAGTATGCTAACTATAGGGCCACATCCCTGCAAGACTTCTCGTCCCACATCTTCAATGTATTCCCCTACTACCCCACGCCGACTCTCAACCCAGTGCTGGAATTCTTCGCGCCCTTGATAACAAAGGACACAACCTTGTTTCACGTCACCCTGCTTGTCAGCGCCTTTCGGTTGGAGCAGCACTTGCCGCCGAAAGAACGTGTGAGGTGCATACGGCTCTCCAAGCTCTGCATGGACCTGATACAGAATAGGATCAACGAGCCCTTCCCGGGCTGTGTCTCTGACGAGACGTTGGCGGCCGTTGCGGGAGTTGCAGTCGTTGAGGTATGTCTAGTTCTACGCACGAAGTGAGAGCGCTTGTGCGTCTGACAACGGAGAGACTAACAGGTCTGGCAGCACGAAAAAGGCAGTCTGCGTCTCTCTCGCATTCACGTGTCAGGCCTGAAACAAATGCTCGAGGTCCGAGGCGGGTTAGAGTCAATTCGCATGTCAAACCCGACTATTGCAAACATGCTGTTCTGGTGAGTTACCCATCGAAATCCGACCACCTGTCATCTTGGACACTGATGGTTCATATCCAGCATGTTCGTCGCCACAGCTGATGTCGATTTCCCGTCGTGCGATGCACGGGCAGTCGTACAGCGGCCTCTATGGTTCTACCAGAGCCTTCACGCCACCCATGACCTCCGCAGTACGAACGTAGATGGCTTGAACCCGAGCCGACTCGATTTCCATGCCCATGGTGTTTTGGCAGAGTACGCAGAGCTCATGCTGAACATCCGTATGCTCGCCATGACTTACCAGACAGCCCAGGACTGTAGCTCGGCCACGGAATACCAGGGGGTATTGACCTTTCTGTGCGCGACTTTGCAGCGACTACTCACCCTCCCGGTCCCGGACCTGCTGATGGGCAGCTACGAGAGGACCATCACGGCAGCGTGTCGTCACGCCCTGATAATCCATGTCTTCGCCCAATGGTGTGGGCACCAGCCCGACCCCTCTCTCCTGGTGAGCACGGCCCAGCACGACCTGCTAGCCACACTGCGGCCCCTGACCGAACGAGGCGGGGTAAGCTCAAACCTGCTGCTGTGGCTCCTGTCCGTCGGCGGCACCTGTCCCTGCGGCCCAGCGCAGCGCAAATGGTTCGTGAGCCAGCTCGCAGACACGGCGGCGGACCTGGGGATCCATTCCTGGGAAGGCATGAAGGCCAGTCTCAAACAGGTTATATGGCATGAGCACCAGGATGACAGACAGCACAGAGACCTGTGGAACCAGGTGGTCGAACTTAGAGAAGGGGGAACGCTCCACTCGCCGCAGATGGTCTATCGGGTGCCTCCTGGGGAGTGAATGCCGTTGGAGATCCGAATCGAACCTCTGTTAAATGGTGACTTTGGCCAGCGATTGAAAGCCACGACTAAAGTAAAGTGGTCAGCACCAGGACACAAAGAAAGCATGTCATGTCGATCCTCAAGTCATCAGCCATTCCGGGCCAGGTGACGACACACCACACCCTGCCAGGACCTTCTCAGGCACCCGGCAGCACATGCTTTCAAGATCAGTTTGCGGAATGCGTCCATGACCATTCAGGGTTTAGAAGTGGGATTGAAACCCGCGTAACTTTACCGGGAACCCTGTCAAATGATCTAGTGTCTGAGTATCTGGTATCTGGGCTCTCTCGGGTATATGCTTTGAGCAAAGATAGGTTCACTATCACATGCCACCAATCAATATAAAACCAACACCCCCTGTTGGTCAAAGCGGGCTTACATTGCCAATTCGCCACTGCAGGGGTGTCCCCCAGTATCCCTTTTGCCTTTCCAAACCCTCCGGTCAAGCCAGCTTCGGGTTCGGGTTCAAGAGCGAATGACCAACACGAGAAATTTATGGAGATCGTTCCAGAACCTTTGCAGATCCTATCCACGCTAGGCATATCTCGTATGAAAATGGGAATGGTCCCAGGGGGCGTTGCAAGCCACGTTCCTCGAAGCCAGTTGCCAGGTCCAGAAAGTCACCTGTGCCGCAGAATGCCTGTTGTCTCTCCAATTATTGAGCTATCACAGAGCGGGTGGATGCAAGGCGCATGGTTGCCCTGTATGAGGAACGGGAAGCAATGGGCGCCCAAATCTCGAACGACACCAATGAGACCTGACAGTGGGTATTTGGCGGCCCCTTCTGGTCTCTCGTGCCGCAATCTCAACGGTAAGCCGTGGCTGGAATTCTTTTAAATCTGCTGGAGGGGTCCATGTATAAGCTCTGGACTTTTGGCCGTTGTATCTGGGATTCTCAGCTGTATAGGAAGAATAACAACGTGAGTAACTCTGACTGACGGTCCGGCTGCGAATCGCTCCTTCGCTTTCACGGCCTCAAGTCGGCCTCTAGTTGACTTCGCACAGAACCGATCGCAAGTCTTCCATTGGTCCCTCTAAAGAACGGACGACACCATGATGGTATAGCATGAACGCAAACCCCACAAGAATAGCTGCATGTGACCGAAGCGATATGAATGCGATGATGTCTGTTCCGTTAGAGCTGGGCTGGGAAACAGCTCTTCCAGACGTGAACTTGGACTTCTTCCCGAATATTGTATTTTGGAATGAGAAAGTCCTGGCAAGCTGCGTCTGCGGTGAATCCCTCGGCTCCCAATGCGGCTGTCTTTCTAGTTCCGCAGTCTCGCGTCACGATCCCAACAGTCTCGGACAGTCGCCCACAGAGCATAGCAACTGGGATCCGACCGATTTGGAACCTCGCTTCACCCAACTCGAGCCAGAGGGCAAGGAAGAGCCAAAGCCCACGGCTCCGACGAGGAAAGAGGTATCTGCACCCCAGAGAAGGAAGTCGTACTCTGTCTGACCAAGATGTCCGCCAGCGTCGAAGACAACAGAACCGGGCAGCGCAAGTTCGACATCGGAAAAAGCGCAATCGATTTCTCCATGAAACCCTCCGCAGTATTGATTCTTTGAGTGAGGAATTGAAGCACACCCGGGCCCAGCGAGACTATTTCAAACTCATGTATGAAGATCTCGAGACGCAGCTGTTGGAGATAAGAGGACAAGCAAACTCGGAATTCCGCAGCAACGCTCATACGTAGGAGCTAGCTTGAGACCGTAATTCCATAGGGAGATGCCGATCTAATCATTGCATGTGCGAGATCTCGTCGTAATGACCCCAGTCCCTGAGCACACAGAAAAGGGGTGAGATCCCCCAAGTCTGTTCAACGGTCTCTTTGAGATCGGTATCAACTCACTGAACCGGTGGAGGTATTATTGTTGCCAATACAGAGACGTGAGTTGATTGTCATAGTCATACCCGGCGGTATCATCAAAGGCCAAGTCCTGTCCGAACCACTGCAAAACATCAATACCGCCCATGAAGGCGTCGTCCATATCATTCTCCAGCATCTGTGTATTTTGTGATTGAGTCTGTGCACCCAGCGGAGTTTGTTGATGGTGCAGTGGTGCTGGAGGTACACTGTTCAGGTTACTAGAATCATACACAAGAGAATCTGTTCCGTGTGATTGTTGGCTCTCATGGGCACGTATGCAAGGGAGGCCAACGCGTTCATCTGGCGGCATTGAAGAGGCGGGAGTCAGTGCGGCTCTGGCTTTGTTACTTGCAGCAGGGTCCGCTTGCGCCATCGCAGCAAGCAATCTGGATGAATTTAGTCCTTGTGTCTGAATCTGCGAGAGGACCAAGCAGAACGCTCTCGCCACCACAGAGTTGTTTTGAGCATAGACCCTCCTGAGTACATCGACGATGGCAGTCAAGTACTCTTCAAATTTCAAATCTCGAACGTCGATATGGGACCTCCCTTCGAACTCTGCCTGGCTATCGCATATACTGAGTAATTTGCGAAGTGCTCGAGCTGCATAACCGGTGCGAACAAAGAAAACGTTAGGCAAGCTGCAAAGGATAGCCAAGTCCATGGAGTGAAATGCGTCAAAGCATTCGTGAATTGCAGCAAGGCAGGCAAACAATGCTTCGACTCTAGCGGGGATGAAATGTAGGTCTTTGAATTTTGATGTCATACTCTCGACTGCTGGAATAGGGAGCGGAGGCGCCGCTCGGAGTGGTGAACGTAGGTCGTCAATGTCATGTTCCGGATGCAGGGCGATTTCGTGGATGAAGAGATCGGTATACGCGGCAACATGGCGGACGTAGTCTTCGGACATTCGGTATCAGCTTCTGCAATATAGATCTGACTCGTTACTTACGCAGGCTCAAATCTGTTTTGGCATGGCGACGCCAGTAGTCCAATTGTTGACGAAAGGCTCGTATTTGATACTGAATCTTGACGTCGCGGAGTGTAACAATTGCACCCGGGTCGTCCATGGAAAACGTGACCGAGGCATCTTCTGCAATGCGTTGAATACGTATCAAGTCGCACAGCCACATGTCGCTTGGTAAGACACGCTCCTCAGCAGAGAGGACATCCAGACATTCCTCGGTGTACACGGACCAGCGGACGAAGGCGGGGTGGCGAAGTGACATTGAGACACTGGGTAGATCTATTAGATACTATTTAACATGAACGGTTGGCATCTCACCTCGTCCCCATATAATAGCAGCCCAACCATGCCCTCCGGCCTGCGAGGGATTCTAGTTGATGAGGATCTGTCCTTTGCTTTAACGTCGATTTATGGGGGCGTCGGCCTAAGCCGATATCAAGCGCCATTGTGCTGGCAATGTGCACCATCTGGTTGAAATTGAGATCTCGCATATTTTTCGCCCTGCCGTAGAACACGATATGAACGATTAGAGTCTGAACAAGCTCTAAAGATCGTTCACCGTTGTACACGACACGCAGGGCTAGATCTTTGATGAGCATGTCGCATAGCTCTGCATCCACTGTGGTATGCATCGAACCAAGGCCAACTGTTATCACAGCGAAAAACAAGAGTGGCTGTTGCTGTTTGACTGTCTCGGCATCGACATCAGACCCAAAGACCACAAATGGGAAGTACCGACACATTTCATCCTTATATCGGTCAAAAGCCTTGCGGGCAGTATCCCAGTCGAGCAAACCGCGAGATAAGGCTTCCGCAATGAGGGACTTGTCGGGTTCGGCTGATGTCTGCGGGTTGTTTGTTGAGGTTCCAGTCAAAGTGTCACGGGCACCGGCTAGTTTCTTCTGATCTTCAGGACTGGTTGTCTCATTAGAAGTCAGAAGCGCAGTCAAAACATTGATTTTCTGCTCCAGATCAGCAACTCGGTCGGTGGTCCTTCTTTTCCTTCGTCGCGGTACATCCTGCATGATACATTGTCGACGGGCTCGTATACACAATTTGCATGCATTGCCCAGTGCTTCGTCGATCTCGCATCTTGTTTTCATTCGTCTGCAAGTTATACATGCTCGACTAGACCGGACAGTTCGAGCTTTGGGCGCAGTGGCATCGTCGCTCTCTTCGCTGCCGTCACTGTGGATTTCGTGTTCGTCAGAGGGTTCCATCGTTCATCGGTCTCAGAATCTCTAGGTATCATGGGTATTCTGGTCCTCAAAGATAGTTTATTGGGAGTGACGAGGGATGAGAAAGGCTACTGAACTACTGTTTGGACTTGGTCATCAGGGGGTGAGTCAGTTGTTGCCTGCGGATGAACATTACTCCGATGCTTGTATAAGGACAAAGCCTTACGGGGCTCTTTATCTCAGTCATGATTGGTCAGCCTCGTGAGACCAACTCGAATTGATTTTGGGGTGACCTCGTCGCATAGTCTAAGTCTTTCAATGAGGTCCTGATCTATAGAATAATGCTCTCGTCAAATCATCGACACAATCCAACAAACGTAATGTCAACAAGCTAAGACTTTGACCTTCAACTGCTTGTTGGCTTTTAGGATGCGGCCGTACCGTCCTGGTTCACCGTCCAGTACCAGAAACTGACTCGAGACGTTCCCCTGGTGAACCATTGTGGTTCTTGGCCTCTGAATCAGCTTTTTGAACCCTCAACAGGAGCATTGGCTGTCTGCAGGCTGTTCTTCTTAATCAGTCCGAGCTTCTCTAGACGAATCTCCATGGCTCGTCGATGGGCGTCGAGGCCTTCACATCGTGCAAGCTCCATCACTGCATAGCCGACCTCCCCAACACCCTGCTCTGTGACTTCGCTGCTGGTGATGTTCTTCATGAAACTTCCGAGGTTGACACCGCTGTATTGCTTCGCATAGCCGTATGTTGGCAAGCTGTGGTTCACGCCAGCAGAGTAATCGCCAACCGACTCGGGCGTCCAGCCTCCAAGGAACACGGAACCTGCGTTCTGGACATCGGGTAGTACGGCGCGGGGATCAGCGATTTGTAGGATGAGGTGTTCAGGTGCATAGTAATTCGACCACTTCAAAGCCTCTGTGAGAGTCTTCACAGAGATGGTCACACTGTGTTCGATGGCTCCCCGAACAATATCCACTCGTGGGAGTTCATGCGCCTGCTTGTGCACTTCGTCTTCGATCGCTTGGAGCTGCTCCTCCGTCAGGTCAACAGCAATCAGGACTACTTGACTGTCTGTGCCGTGTTCGGCTTGACTGAGCAGGTCACTGGCAACAAATGCGGGATCGGCTGTCTTGTCCGCCACAACGAGCACTTCAGATGGGCCAGCTGGCATGTCAATTGATACTGCGGCGGAGGTATCATTGCTGACGATCATTTTCGCAGCCGTGACAAACTGATTCCCAGGCCCGAGAATTTTATCGACCTTGGTGACAGATTCCGTCCCATAGGCCATGGCAGCGATAGCCTGGGCACCGCCTGCTAGAACAATGGCTTCTGCTCCCACCTTGTGCGCAATGTATACGATTTCTGGTGTGAGTGTGCCGTCAGATCTCGGTGGCGATGCGAGGACGATGTTCTTGCATCCTGCAGCCATTGCTGGGACACCGAGCATCAGCGCCGTGGAAGGCAGAACCGCTGTTCCGCCGGGAATGTATAAACCAACTTTCTCGATCGGTCTCGAAAACCGAGAGCAGGTCACCCCCGGCATTGTCTCCACTACCAGTGGTGCTGACGGTTTCTGGGCGGCATGGAATTTGAGGATATTATCGTACGAAGTATTGATCGCTTTGATGGTCTCTTCGGGAAGTTGCATAAGAGACTCAGGAAAAGGTGCTTTTAGTACAGGGGATTTCAGAGCGGTGGCTTTCTCAAACCTGTGGGTATATTTTAGAACAGCAGAGTCGCCATTGGCACGAACATCAGCAATAATGGGATGAACCAGAGACATGATTTTCTCGTTCGACTTTTGCGAAGGTCGTTGTAAGGCAGCTTTTAGAATATCGTCCGAGAAAGCTTGCGATGTCGAAAACCGCGTCAATTGTATGCGACCAGTTTCGGTCTTACCAGCAGGATCCGAAGGTCCTTTTGGCACAGATGCGGCTTCTTTGACTTCTTCATCTTTGTGGCCGTCGACGCCGTTGGTCGTGGGCGGTGGCTTTTCAGCGACAGGCGTCTCCTCAACGTACTGGGGCTTTGCGTCGCCTTTTCGTCTCTTCACTTTCAGACTCTTCAGGTCAAGGTTCTTCTCGATATCTTCCAAAGTAACGTCCGCGGCGATACATCGAGCAAGAGCAAAGTAGAGCAGATCGGCTGCTTCCGAGGCAATCTCTTCCTTTGTAGTAGCTGCGCAAAGCTCATCTGCTTCTTCCTTGATTTTGGCATTGACAAGTTTCGGGTCGTTGAAAAGCCGAGCGGTGTAAGAGCCTTCAGGTGCATCAATCTTACGTTGTTGTAGTGTACGTTGTAGTCTAGAGAGCCCAGAAACCTTGCCCCAGCATGACATAGTTCTCAGATGGCAGAAGCCCTGTCCTTTCTGATGGACCCTGAAGATCAAGCAGTCCTTGTCGCAATCAAAGCCGATACTGATGAGTTCCTGGATGTCTCCGCTAGAGGCACCCTTGTGCCATAGCCCCCGTTTTCGACTTTGGTAAACGCCTGTTCCTGTTTTGAGGGCTTCGGCGATACTTTCTCTGCTGCTCCAGACCAGGCCCAGCGCAACGCCCCGCTCATCAACCACCGTAGTTGCGTAAAGGCCTGTCTTTCGATCCGCGGTGGCCCCGGCGAGAATCAGCTCCACAGCAGGAATCAGGCTCTTGTTTTCGTCCTTGGAAGGGTCGAAGGTCAATTTTTTAGAAGAGACAATCAGAGCATTTCCGGGGTATTCGTGCAGCAAGTTTCTCCCTTCAGTCTCGCTTGCAACGGAGACGAATATCGTCTGATCGTGACTTGGAGGATAATTATCCAGCTCTTTCAACACATCATCCACATGCTCGTTTCCTTTGTCACCATCGAATGCCCATTCCGCGGTCTTCCATCTTGGATTGTCATCGATAAAGGCCTTAAGTTTTGCGATATCTGTTTTGGGATTGACAAGGGAAATCGTCAACACAAGGCGGTCGGCCGAAATGGTAGGCTCTTGCGACAGAGCCTTTAGTTGCTCAAAGGTGACGAAGATTTTGGACGCTCCATTATTGAGAATGTCAATGACATTGTCCCAACTCTTCAGTTTTCGAACATCAAGGTATATGTCGAGCCTGGAAAAATTGCGGCGCAGGAAAGCAAGATTGGAGTCGAAGGTCTCGGGGGTGACTTCGATGAGACAATGGCCCAGGTAGGCAACTTGGTCAAGAGTGAGACCGTCGACCTCTTTCTTGAGAATGTCCTCTGGATCGACCGAAACCAAGAGTCCAGTACCCATGTCTAGGAACCAAGCTGTTGGGTTTGAGTGTCGCGGACACAAAATGTAAAACGTGGAGTGAGGGGAGAAAATCGCAGGGAATAAAAAAGTGACTGTGACAATAGAAGCTCAACAATTTGCGGCGCTGAGTGGCTGCGCAGGCGGGCTGGCGGGACACCCCATCGACCGCTCATGACCCTGTATCGATAGTGACGATAACGATAAGACTAAAGAGGAAGGTCCTCCGAGATGACTCACATTAGTTGCGTTATCACGTGACCACCTCAAAAAGCTTCTCTTGCCAACTCCACCACAAACATCCATTCATGTCCCACGCCCTCGACCGCAGAGCTCCCCATTGCATGCATGTGTTTATCTACATTCACATGCCAGCGGACAGGATATTGGCACCACTGTAACTCTCTTCCGGGTCAGGCCACCTTTTTGAAGGGGTAAAGACGACATTGAAGACATGTGAAAACGTTCTTGGTACTACTGCCGCCACAGTGCAGAAGCATATCCTTTTCCACAATCTCCGCCTTTCTTAGACCAAGCTTATCTAGATCCCATTTAATTTGGTGATTCACATATTTGTGACCAAACACATAGCATACCCAAGCGGCCGCCACATGCACGAATGCACCCTGATCCAAGCTGATGCATGTCTCATCTGATAGTTTTTCGTGCAGGCGGTTCCCCGGCACCTCACGATCAGCTGGCAGTCCTCCATATCCATGGAGTCCAAATGACAATTGGTCGGCCCAAAGCTCCTCTTCGAGTATTTTGTCAAGCGCCGGCTTTGTCAGACGGCACCATTTGTTTGTGTAGAAGTCACACGCGGCGGGCTCGCAAAAGACCAGTTGCTCTCCTTATTCCGCGGCTCATCACGACACAAAGACTGGCTCTATTGAGCAGCTGGTGTTTCCGCAAGAGAAACTACCCATAAAACACAATACCCGAATCCAGTCTTGAGGGCATTAGGAAAGTAGTCGTCAAGTGTATGTATGAGAGGTCACGGCATATACCATCATACCAAATTCGTCCACGGATGCCAGCCAATCATCTATCTTTTTCTGTCGCACCTGTGCTGGATCTGGTCCAGGATATGGCCAGAGATCGTTGATGAGAAGCTCGCCATCGCACCAGAGGCCCAGTTGTTGGTTATAAGCTGTGTTCCACGATCGACGATCGCGCGCATTCCAGAGAGTTTTGCTCGCCGGAGCTGGGAGGCCTGCAAGCTCTACAGCAACAAAAGATGGAGTGCCCACGGTGAAGTTGACCAGGTTGTCAAGTAAACAGGTAGCGAATAGTGTCCTTCTTTTCGTGGAAGCGACAATCCACGATTCCCAGTCAGGTCGACTGCCATTTGTCTCGGCAGGACAAAGGGTCCCTCTACTTGCGACGTCACCTGCTAAGTCTTGGAGTTTGATCATGATATCTTGTTCTACCAAGCTCGCAGCATTGGCCGAGGAGAAGAGCATGATGGTGTAGAGAAGATAGACCTGTAATATGGCCAAAAGCTCCAAGTGACCCGAAAATGCACGCTGGTTGCTTCATTTCAGCCTCGAAACCAGATTTGAAGAAGATTGTACGTGCCTTTTGAAATACCCGCGACATTTCCTGTCCGATGATTTCTTGGACCATGGCTGCGCTTTCAGGGGTCTGTCCCACCCACATGCGTGCTATTTCCACGCAATTTGCTAACGGTTCAGCAATGCCATATGCAATTTGAGACCAGTGAATGAAAGGAGGAAGATTGTCGGTCAGAAACATTTTGGGATATGACTTGAAGATGCGCGTGACGAAAGCCATCGTAGACGCATGATAAGGCTTCGGCCTCTGATCCATAGAAGGCAGGAGGCTCTCCAGCCAGCGTCCGCGGATTTTGTGTTCATCCACTGTGCACATCAGATGGATGTTTTCGAAATCCAGCGGGTCGGCGCTGACCAGATCTGCGGCAATTTGAGGCGAGAGTCCGGCTCCATCGGTGGTGGCTGGTGAAGGCTGAAGGACGGCGATGTGGTCGACAAGCCCTGCATCAACGTAGGTGCAATCCAGGCTTCGATTGCTACACCTCGTACAAGACGGTCTCTTGAGGTCACACCGCACTTTCGATCTGTAGCAATGATTGCAGGACTTTTTCCTGGGTAGAGAATCCTTCGGACTCATGGCCAGAGGGAGACCGGCTTCGCCTGGAACTACGAAGTAGAGGAAGTGAAGAGGCGTCGAGGATCCCGAAGATGGAGTGAGCGTAATGAGATGACGCGCTTTGCCTGTTTTGGAATAGCTCCCTAGACGTATTCTCGGCTAAGTTGCTTTTTGGACTTGATCTATCCTCGCCCACTCTATTCATCCATATCTTGCTGTGCCATCCGAACATACACTTGGTCTTGCGACAACCTCTCTGTCGCGAATCAGTAATTCATACCCTATTTCATTCAGTCCAAAGCTCACCAATCCAATAGTCAGCCAAGGGCTACGTTGACCCGACTTCCAATGATCAAATTTCGGACCTGGAGCTCATCACCTCCAAGTCAGGACATGTCGATACCGCCATTAGGGGTTCGGTCTTTTGACCATTTGGCGACGATGGGATTCACCAGGTGAGCCTAGGAAAGTATGTAAATATGCTCCAGACGACATCATTGCGGTATTCCCCCCGATGGCGTTGCGAATGTCTTGTCGAATCTCCCTGCTTGCCTCCGGTGTCGGAACTCCGAACATCCCTGTCCACACCGACCAGGGTGTGGCTCGATACTTCCACAGGCATATATAGACAGTCGGCACCCGAGCAGCATGCTGTTTTCCTCTAACAACAGGTTCAAAATGTCTCAATCCGAAGCTATGACACAGGTTGAGTCCTCCAAACCTTACACAATCTTCACACTTTCACAAAAAGCCCTCATTGTCACCATTATTTCATTTGCGGCTACACTTTCTGGCTTTGCGTCGAATATCTACTTTCCTGCCCTTCCTCAAATCGCCGATGACTTGTCAGTCAGTACCAGCCTCATCAACCTCACCGTGACATGCTACTTGATATTTCAAGGCTTGTCGCCTACCCTCTGGGGCTCGTTGTCCGATACCAAAGGCCGCCGCATTACCTATATCTGCACTCTCGTCGTATTTCTTGGAGCGTGTATCGGGTTGGCAGAGACACGAAACTACGCGCAACTGTTGGTTCTTCGTTGTGTCCAAAGTACCGGAAGTGCTAGCACCATTGCATTAGGTGCTGGAGTCCTTGGCGACATTACAACGAGGGAAGAAAGAGCTGGTTATATGGGTATTTTCCAAGGAGGACTTTTGATGCCGGTCGCCATCGGCCCTGTTATTGGTGGTGTCTTATCGGACAAGATGGGCTGGAGATCAGTGTTTTGGTTTCTGACTATCTATGGGGGGGCCTGTGTCCTTGTCATTGTCCTTGTCCTGCCTGAGACATTGAGGTCCATGGTGGGAAATGGAGCGGAAGAGCCAAAGCGATATGCCATGTCCCCTCTTGCACTGTATCAGAGAAAGAAGCACTTCAGGCAAGACACCAACCCCTCCGCAGAGGGCGAGAAACCCGCGCCGAAACGAACCGATTTTCTGGGTCCAGCAAAGATTCTCTTCCACTGGAATACCTTTTGTGCTATCTTTTATGTTGCGGTCCACTACGCAGCGTGGCAAATGGTTCTCACCGCCGTTTCCGTGCTCGTCAAACAGAAATATCATACTTCAGAAATCCAAGTTGGTCTCATCTTCCTGGCCAACGGAGCTGGGTCCATCATCGGCACCGTTCTGGTCGGTAGATTCCTGGACTATGATTACAGGCGGATTCTACGCAAGTATGGCGGCGATGAACAGCGCATGCCCATTGAAAAGGCTCGGCTAAGGACTGTCTGGCTCTGGAGTGCACTTGAATGTGTGTCAGTGCTGATTTTTGGGTGGACCGTCGACCAAGGTGTTCATATCTCTGTGCCCATTATCTGTTTTTTTGTTTTGGGCTGGGCAGCCATCTCTCTCCAAAGCGTGATCTCGACCTACCTCGTCGACATCCACCATACTCAGAGTGCCTCAGCCACGGCTTCCTTAAATCTCGTTCGCTGTCTCTTAGGAGCTGGCGGAACTGCTGTGGTTGGGCCTCTGATCAACAGCATTCATGTCGGCTGGACCTTTACCTTATTAACGGGTATCATGCTCGTACTGGGTGGTCTTGCTCTGGTCCAAATCATGTTTGGGGATGCCTGGAGGCAGAGACGCGAGCACAACTCGCCGTCTGAAATGGAAGGCCAGAGGAATGTCTGAAAACCAGACTCATGTAAGGCACATGTATCCGTGGTTCTTGTTCGTGGATAGAGTTCATAGATTACCAAAGAGGCTGGAATAACTGTAGCGATAGAGGAGTGCATTTCCTCACTGGGGCATGACGCTTTGCAACGATACATCTATCATATAACCCAAAGTCATCGATCTCCCTGGTCTTTAAGCGAGGCTGAGGCATGTATGTGATGTTGAACTGCTAAAGCGGCATGAGTCTCTGGACGAATCAAGATTAGACCCACCGGCCGCATTTTGGAGTCATTTCTCTCTACTCGGTAACTTGGAGTCAGAGTCTAGTGAGCACCATCCATAATATTTTGTTTCGTAACTGCTCTTCCTCTTACCCTTGCTGTCCGACAACTACGTTCCCCCGGCCGGACGCAACCATGGCAGAAGATTTGACCCCGAAAGTGCTTGAAGTACTGAACTCCGCAAATGGTCCTGTCATCACATCGGAAGCCTTTCCCAATGCCACCTTTGTCAGTGTCAAATCCGCTGTCGACAAATTACGGTCGAGAGACTTCATTGAAGCAGAGCAGATTGATCGGTTGGAACTTGTTCTGACAAAAGAAGGCCAAGATATTGCAGAAAATGGGAGCAACGGCGCAAGAGTTTTCGAGGCAGTTCGATCCGCATTGGAGGGATTGAAGATCAAAGATTTACCCGCAGCCGTGGGCGACGCAAACGTGGCCAAGTTCGGCTCGGGCGATGCCTTCAAGCTCAAGTGGATCAAGAAAGACGGGGACACTCTCAAGGCGACTGCGGACAAGATCCAGGACGAGGTACAAGAACAATTACGACAGATCCAATCCGGGAAGGCCTTAGACAACCCCAAAGTCGTGGCAGACTTCAGGAAGAGGAAATATGTGGTAGAACAGAAAACGGTCGCCTTTAAGATTTCCAAAGGCCCTAAATTCTCGACTGAATTTGTCAAGGAAGAGGCAGATCTGACTGCAGAAATGCTGGCGTCTGGCGCCTGGAAGACCGTGCAGTTGAAACCATATAACTTCAAGGCCAAAGGCGCACCCACGCCATCCGGAGCTCTTCACCCTCTCAACAAAGTGCGTCAAGAATTCAGAGAGATCTTCTTCGAGATGGGTTTTGAGGAGATGCCAACAAATCGCTATGTGGAAACTGGTTTCTGGAATTTTGATTCTCTTTTTGTCCCTCAACAACATCCTGCTCGCGACCTACAAGACACCTTTTACATCTCAGATCCCATCAGAGCCGATCCTCCTCGAGCAGATCCAGAACCTCCGGCTCCCGGAGAGAAATCTATACCTTCACCTTCCCATAAGAGGACAAAGTCGAAGGAAAAGGGCCCGGACTTCAAGAAGTACTGGGATGATGTTCGTGCCGTGCATGAAAACGGAAAGTTCGGCTCGATAGGCTACAGATATCCGTGGTCTGAAGACGAGTCTTTGCGACTAGTCATGCGAACTCACACCACGGCAATTTCTGCATACATGCTTCACAAACTCGCTCTAAACCCTCGGCCGGCGCGATACTTCTCTATCGACAGAGTCTTCCGAAACGAGACGGTTGATCAAACGCATCTTGCAGAATTCCACCAAGTCGAAGGCGTAATTGCCGACTGGGGTCTGACACTGGGCGGCTTGATTGGTTTCATGGAGGTCTTCTTCGGTAAGATGGGTATCAGAAACCTGCGATTCAAGCCTGCGTACAATCCTTACACGGAGCCGAGCATGGAGATCTTCAGCTACCACGAGGGATTGAAGAAGTGGGTGGAAATCGGAAACAGTGGCATGTTCCGGCCAGAAATGTTGGAGCCAATGGGTTTACCCAAAGATATGCGGATATATGGTTGGGGCTTGAGTTTGGAGCGACCGACCATGATCAAGTGAGTTTTCGATCCTTTGGTCTTGAGGGTATGCTAATGTCTTTGAACAGGTACGGCGTCAACAATATCCGAGAGCTTTTGGGACATAAAGTCGATCTCAACTTCATTGAACAGAATCCTGCTGTCCGCTTACACAAAGACTAGAGAGCCGATCACAGGCGACAACTCAGCATGTACGAAGACTTACGAATCCTACGCGCTCAAGATATGTTGCCATTGAAAAGAGGCATCCCTTACAAAAAGTTCTAGATTCCGCAAAGAGAAGGCTAGAAATGATACCCCGTTGAATTCTTCTCGCTCTTTCCCTTGAGCTGCCTCACTTCTATTTTCCTTTCTCCCCTTGTGTTGAAGCCTCTTCTTTTCCTTTCGAATTTTTTCAACCGGCACATCAAGGCTTCCTCAGACTCAATCTGCCATGACTGGGGAAGTAGAGATAAAAAAAATCGTACATACAACAGCCGAAGATTAAGCCATAAATACCGCCTTCTGAAGAGCTGTGATTTTATTATTCCGAGATTGAGAGTCAGAGCACAGATACGGGTGGCACATTCTCCGTCCATTTCCGAGGAGCCATACATAGAGAACTCCCCCATGCCTGTGTCATGAAGGAGGAAGGGGGGGGGGAACACGTAAAACAATGATGATTGATGATGTTTTGAATAGTGTATTTCTGGGGGAACCTTTCGTCCCGTTTTGCATTTTTCTATTGATGCTGGTCGTGCAGAGTGCACCATGTCCGTTTCTTGCGACCAAGCAAAGTGAAGCAGGGTACTTCTCCTGTCGTGGAATGGATGACATGCATAGCAATAACCGTCACCGACCCCCACAATCAAACCATCGTGTCCTCCGGCGTAGCTGTGTGCGTCGCTCGACCGAGAAGAGTAATTCGATGATCGACCAGGCCAGGAATCTCGATCGAGTCCTCCTTCCTCACTTCAACCACGTACGCCCACTCCCATACACAATATGTCTCCTCGTGCGCATCTTCATCCTCTGTTCACCTCCTCTG